CCAACCACTGCCCTGCCCCCTCTGGGTCCACCCCACTCTCAGGGCCCTGATAGGTAGTATATGGGTAGGCAGGGACACCATAGCAGCTGTTGATACCTCTTCTTTCCTCTTAGAAGGATCTGATGCTGCAGCCGATGAGGGCTACTTCATCTATTAAACCCAATACACTTGTCGCAGCTGCTAAGCCCCCGTAAGCCGCCGGGCGCCGTGTTTGTGATGGGACTGACAGTGCATGGAGGAGGCTGATTATACACGATTCCATTTCGCGGGCCCAGCAATGTAATTTCACAGGGCGATCAGCGTTTGCATGTAATAGCAGGCTGTGCTGAGGTGTCAGAATATTAAAGGCGCTAATGGCAAAGCTCCCTGTTACACAGGGGGCCACCCGCCGCGCCTACAGCAGGGCTGTGCGGCAGGCCCGTCGCAGATGGCTGGCCACTAAGCTAATGGGGCAGCAGCCAAGGCGGGCAGAGCCACGAGAGGAGAGAGCCAGCCGGGAGAAGCTCGGCACCTGCTTCCCTGCGCATGGAAATTACAGCAGCCCAGGGGAAGGGAAGTGTGCGTGCCTGCCTGGCATAGGGCTGGGATGGGGTGGGGTGCTGCCCAGCATCTTTCATCACAACTCCACCTGTCCCTGTGGCTCAGCTTCAGTACCTGCCCTGGACAGTCAGTACCTGCTCCTTAGTTGTTCTACTTGTCCCATCCTCTTGACCAGAAAGTGTGGGAGCTGGGTGCCAACTGCACAGCAGCGGGGCATGTGGGCCCCGATGCTAAGATAGGTGCAGATGAAGAAGTAGCACCCAGAGAATTTGGAACCAGTGTTGGGAGAGAGGCTCAGGCACAAACTCTTGAAGAGAGCTCTTAAAGCAGATTCCTGCCTCACACCGATCAAGGTCAGAAAGCTCTGGGCCCCTGCCCCCAACTCCCTAGGCTGGCAGGAGAGGGGAGGGAGCAGCAGGAGGAAGCAAGTGGGAGTAAAGGGTGGACACAAGGCTCCTTGATGCCCACGTGCTCTTGGTCCTCAGAGTTGAGAGGCAGTGCCTTAAGATGTGGCTCCTCTCTTAAGCTGGCTGCCTTAGCCACACCCAAGCCCTTGTGATTGTGCCTTCCTTTCATTCTCCTTTGTCCTTGTGCCTTCTGTCTGGAGTGTTCTTCTCCCATGTCATCTGTCATCTCCTTCCGGCCACTGGAAGGCCAGGAAGGGTTGACAGATGACATGGGAGAAGAACATTCCCTCCAATCCCTCCAGGAAGCTTTCCTAACCTTATATGGACCTGCTTGTCTTCTTGTCCCCTGCAGGAAACCCCCAGGGCTCAGCCTCCCTGATCCCCCTGCTCTGACGAGTCCTTGGGTGCCAGCCTTGACTTCTCAGCCATAGCTCATATCACCTTGCCCTGAGCAGGACTCCCAGAAAGGTCTCTGTTAAGATTTGTAGATGTGTAATCTCTTAAGGAGGATGAAGAGAGGGAAAAGGAAGATTAGGATGGCAGCGTTAGCTGAGGGAGAGTCTGAGGCATGTGTGGTGTGCCAGCATATATGTAGTTGGGCCACTCCATGGTCTGCATATCTGAGGGAAGGGGCATGGGCTTTAGAAGTGAGTGCCAGGGTGTTGGGCATGTGGGTACAGGTGCAGAGGGGCAGCAAGTGTGAGGATCCATGCCATACACTGGCAAGAGCACAGGTTGCTGTAGGACCTCCTGCATTTCCTGGGTGGCTATCTGGATGTGCCTCAGAGGTACCCACAATGGCAGGAGTTGGGGGGTGCTTGAGGTGCTGGGCCCTGGTACTGAACCTAGGGTGATCCCATGAGGCTGATGATCACATCTGAAAGTTATGCTCTGCAGGGGCATGTGTCAGTACCTGGGGGAGACATGCCAAGGCTCTCAGCAGAGGCAACAGAGGGAGAGCCCAGGCTGAGGGAGAGCAGTTTTAATTAACCGTTTTTAATATCATTTTGGACTTTGGCTGGGATGTGAAGGCCCCGCTGGAAGCAGCATTTGTAAAAATTAAATCCCTCTTATTAGGAGCTTGGCAGACCCGTGTGCATGCACTGCCCCTCCCCCGCCCTGTGCCCCCCTGAGGAAGTGCTGGATGAGGCCATGTCACGGCAGCAATTGGTTATCATGCCTTATCTGGGAATATGAAACTGTGTGGTATGACACCCGCGGCCGCAGTGGAGACGCCAATTCATCTCGCCCTCGCTCTGACAAGCTAGACTGCCCTTCCTGAAAGGCATCCGTCAGGCGGGACCGGGCTGCCGCCTTGCCTGGCACCTCTGTGCTTCTGCCAGGGGTTCCAGCTTGCCCTGGCTCAGCCTGGCCCTCCTGGACTCGGCTGCCCTCCATCCCCCCTCCACACATCCCAGTGTGTGGAAGATCTTGGGGAGTCATAATTACAATAATAATCTAATCATGGTGACACGGCGGGGCAAGCATCTAATGTTATCTGAAGTGGTCTTCCCGCTTAGCTGCGATAAGACTCAGGATGACGTGCAGATAACGTTGAGCTGCCCTGTCCCCGAGCCGAGAGCAGAGTGGAGGGGCCTCAGCAGCCCTGCCGCCCGCCCGCCGCTTTAAGCCGGGAAGCGGCAGCACCTGCTAATGCAAGTGTTTAATATTTGATGGGCTGGGATAAAGCAGGATCACCTTCGAATTGAATTGAGTGTCAGCCGAGAATCTATTACTGAAATTCGGGTGTGATTTGACAGCAAAGTAGACGATGTTATTCTTCACTAGTTACTGCAATCTTCTCCTCGACATCACTTAAATATTTTTTTCTTTGCTTGAGTAAACACACATTATCCTTCTTTTTTCCCCCTTCCTTCCTTTTTTCCTTTTTAGAGGGGAAAAAAACCCATCCAGCTCGCCTTCTCCAGGCTGATAGAGTAGATTGTTATTTCTTTATTTGTCCTATTAAATGGAATTTCTGATCATTTAATCCGGCCTTTGTAAGTGATTTTAAAGTACTTGAAAGGCGGCCGCCGCTGCTCTCCGGCCCACTGCGCGCCAGCCTCAGCCCTGACCAAGCTCCGTGGCTCCTCCAGCTGTGTACCGCCCACTGGCTGCTTCCCTTGCTGCTTAAGTCCTCAGCCCTGCCCTGGCTCTGGGCCAGTGTCTTCTCCCCTGTCCTTGAGACTCATACTTAGCCCCTGGTTTGTGGGTTCAGCTGTGGCCTGGAAAGGGAGGGGGAAGGTTAGCCGGGAAGTTGGACTGTGGCTGGTACCTTTGTGGTCAAGGAAAAAGACTTTGAGGGGTGCTGAGGTTTAAGTACATGGCTCATATCTTTCTAATACCCATGGGGCTGGAGGGTTGGTCCTGGCAGCTGGGAAGGAAGGTTGGACGCAGAGTCTGGCCCTGAGCCCTGGCATAGACTCTGTGTCCAGCCTCCTGTCTTGTGTTTCTGACCCTGTGCTGGGCCCCCTCCTCTGTGAGTTAGTAGGATGGGGACTGCCCAGGCTCAATAATGGGCTGGTCACTTAGTGCCCGTCTGCACATGGCTGGCAGTCACTTGGTTCTATCACTGGACATCCCCCTACCATCCAACTTCTGGGAACTTGCCCAAGCTTCATTGCCACTGACCACTGTTCTGCACACTGTCCTGCCACTGGGAGAGAGGCAGCCTGGTATTTGGGGACTTCTAAGGTGAGGGGATGCAGCCAGGCACGGTGGCTCACACCTGTAATCCCAGCTCTTTGGGAGGCTGATGAAGGAAGATTGCTTGAGCCCAGGAGATCAAGACCAGCCTGAGCAACATAGTGAGACCTTGTCTCTACAAAAAATAAAATTAGCTAGGTGTGGTGGTACATGCCTTTACTTCTACCTACTTGGGAGGCTGAGGTGGAAGGATAGCTTAAGCCCAGGAGGTTGAGGTTACAGTGAGCCATAATCATGCCACTGCACTCTAACCTGGACAACAGAGTGAGACCCCAACTCAAAAATAAATAAATAAATAAAAACAAAGTGGGGGGATAGGTAATGTTTGAAAGTTCAACTAGCGAGCAGTCCCACTGATAGAAGCCTAGACTTTGTTAGCAGGCTAAGCAGGAATTAAATCTTGTTTGACTACTTCATAACCATCTGTTTAAGTCTCTCTTTCCGGGCCTCAGTTTCCTCATCTGTGACATAGGTCAGTCATGCCTGTAAGAGATTGTTAGGAAAGGCACTGTCCCCATCCTGCCATGTGTCCCCCACCAGGTAGAAGTTGCTGGCAGCCAGGTGGTGCGGGAAGGGGATGGAGGGGGGCAACAGAGTGCTGGGGGTCTGAGCAGATCGATGCCCCCTGCACTTCCTTCCCCAACCCCAGGAAAACAATTAAGTACAGATCGATGGGTGGCCGCTTTGAATATGCATAAGTGAGCACTTGACCTTCAGCAGAGCATCTGCTCCCCCCCCAACATACACACGCACACACACATACACACACACACACACACACACACACACACACACACACACACACACACCATGTACGTCCCTCAGCTGTTTGAGTCTACCAGGTGACCTTACTCCCCTCCTCAGTTAAGCCTCTCACAGCCTGGTCTGCTTGGGGTCAAAAGCACCTTGACCATGGCAGGTCACTGGTCTCCAGGGTCCTTCCTGAGGCCAGTCTTTGTGAACAGTAACACTGTGGGGAGGGAACCCATCAAAGTGCCAGGGGCTCTGGAAAGGGGGACCTGAAGGAGGAGTACGTGGTGAAGGGGTGTGCCCAGGTGAGTGGAGGGTGCCTGAGAGAAGATCCTAACAGATGAGAGCTCCCTAAAGAGGAGCCAGTGAGGGCTGGGGACTCGGATGGGGAGAAGCCCAGGAGAAAGGGAACTCTGGAGAAAGAGGGGTGTTCTGCTAGGGGTGCCCTGGTCAAAAGGAGGCCCAGTGAGGGGTCTGTCACAAGGTAGCATTATGAGAGTAAGCTCTTGGTGGGAAGATGTGGGAGGGGGAGACCTGGTGAGTGGGGTTGGTTAAGGGGTCAGGGCTTCTGTTAATCACTCTTGCCTCCTGTCTTCCAGGCTTACAGCTTCGCCATGGGCTGCTGGCCCAAGAATGGACTTCTAGACATGAACAAGGGCCTCAGCCTGCAACACATAGGCCGGCCCCACAGCGGCATTGGTCAGTCCCTTCGCATATCCCCCTGGCAGCTCAGTCAGTCCCCTGCCCGCATGCCTCAGTCCCCAGGCACAGAGAGGTTCCATGGCTCATTCAGTGCCCCAGCAGAGCTCTGTCCATAACTGGGGGGGGGGGGGTGTGAGGGGTTGGAGTGAGGGGATTACTGAACAGGCCCACTGGAAAGCAACTCTCAAGGGGACATTTTGGAGGAGGTTGGGGTATGGGCTTTGGGTGACTCACAGGTGGCCTTGGATTCAGGCTAAGGGCTCCCCCTCACTGGCAGCATCCCTAGTGGACAGTGGCCTTGGAGGGTGGGCACATGTCAGCTTCCCCACCCCCCATGGAGCTGGAGGAGGCTGTTTAATATTGTTTCAAGTCTGTGGCCACTAAACTGGACGATCAATGGGAGTTAAGGAGATGAATTATTTAAACCTCACCAGCTTTTAATTAGTCGGGGTCCTTCTGACCGATGGCTCCGTCCACAGGGTATTGACTCCCCAGCAAGAGCAGCAGCCTCCATTGAACGGTGCCTGGGTTGGGAAGGGCCGCTTGGGGTACCAGGTGGGGGTACACCCTCAGGGGGATTCCTGTTTGGTAGGGGATTGGAATGGCTGTGATTCCAGGCATGTAGAGGCTCTGCTAGCTTCTGATGTATCCATATGAACATATGTCTGTCTGTGAGTTTGTGTCTGTGTGCATGACACCTTTGACTGTATGTCTCTGTGTGTCTGTCTGAGAGTATAATATGTCCATGATTATACATGTCTGTTTGAAGGGTGTGTGTGTGTATAACAATATATCTGTATTTTTTTCTGAGGGCATGTATCTGTATACAGAAACAGCCACCAGCCTGTGTGTGTACTTTCCAGAAAGTGTGTCTTTTCCTTTCTGTGTATTTTGTTTTGTTTGCATATGCACATGTGTGCATGCAAATGCTTTCATGTGGGCTACTTGACCAAGCATAGACTTTGTTCCAAGTGGGAGGAGCCAGGGTGCTTCTGAATGGTACTATAACATTGTCACAACCTGTGTACCTTCGGGCAGGTATCAGGGGTGGGGCAGGGAGCATTGGAGAGATACACCAGGAAGGAAGGACTCAGACAGTGGCTACAGAGTAGCCCCTTTATCCATTCCACAGACATTCACTGGTGCCTTGTGGGAGCTGAGCAGGCTAAGTAGAAGTTCCTGTCCTCAGCACACATCCTGGGGAGAGACAGACTGAAATAGGTGCTTGCTACCCAGTGTACTAAGGGCTATGATAGAAACACCTGGGTTGACCCAAGGGAGGCTTTCCCTGTCCTCAGTTGCCAGGGTCACTTCTGCTTCTTCAGTTACCTCTCACTGACTCCTGGGATACTACATATCATTCTTGTTGGGACATCCCAAGTCTCTCCTAGAGTCCAGGGGGAAAGAGGAAGTGGTCAGCAGGTCTGAGGAACTGCTAGGGGCACTCCACTGTAACTGCTTTTCCCTCCCATAGATGTTTTACATGCAATCTTGAAGACACCAAACCCAGCAAGGTGATATGTTTGGGAGATCAGCAGGAAGTTTCATAGAGAAGAAGACATTTAAGTTGGGATCTTTGAAGGATGAATAGGAGTTTGCTAGGCGGAAAAATAGGTAGGAGGACTATATACAAAGGCCAGGGGGCAGGAGAAAGCCCAGCATGTTGGAAAGACAAGTTTAGACATCTGCAAGTTGTTTTCTGTGATTGGAGTGGAAAATTTGGGTTAGAAAATAAAGAGAGACATAAGCAGGGCCTTGAATGCCCGGTTAAAGGGTGTGGATTTTTCCTGAGGCTTTGAGCAAACATGGCAGGTTTGTGAGTGAGCAAATGATCAAAGCCCCAACTCAGAGTCAATGAGGCAGTTTGTGCTACACAAAACTAGTTCTAAGTAGGTGCTCAATAAATGCATATGGATAGATGAATGAATGAGTAGGCAAGTGAATTAATCAACGAAAGAGTGCTGAGTGAGGAAGGGACAAGAGAGGACCAGCAAGGAGACTTACATTGGGCCAGGGGAAGAGGAACTGCCAGTCATTAAGACTGGCTGGTGGGAGAGACCAGAGGGTCTTGGCTAATGCCCCCCGCACAACCTTAATCTGTGTGCCCTGCTTCTGTGTTTCTGTCCCAGGCTGTGTTTGTGAGGAGAAGGGGTTCCCTGTTCCCACTCTGTGTGCCTCTTCAAAGTCAGTGATGCCCCTCTTGTCTGTTCACCCTGTTGACCGTGGGTTAGGACCCTTAAGGAATCCCTTCCTTCAGAGCAGAAGTTTCTGCCTCTGGGTGGGCCCATGGGTCAGCCCAAGGCTCTAAGCGACAGTGGAGTAGGGGCTCTGGAGCCAGAGGAAGTTCTGGGCTCTACCACCCAGGGCCTGTGACCTTGCATGAAGGACAATGCTACCTGCCTCTCAGGGCTCTCAGGAAGGTTCTGTGAGTCCCCTGCATAAAGTGCTCAGACAGTGCCAGGCAACACCATGGGGTCAAGGAGCTCCCTCCTCTGTTGCCCTGCCTGCACCAGGGCCTCCCCCAGGGCACTAGCGTTCTTGGCACTTGGTCTTTGTAGTCTTTGAATGAAGAGGGCTGCCCTGCCAGCTCTGGGCTGGCTTCGAGGTGTGGGTGAGGGTGGTTGGAATGGAGGAAGGATGCAGGGCATTAATTGGGCTGGGAGAGGCGGGGAGGGGAGGCGTGGGTTTTGAGCAGTGAGGTTAATGGCCCTCGCACCAAAGAGACAGCTTTAATGAGCTTCAGCTGGCGGTGCCCCGAGTTACTGTGCGTGCTAAAAGGGTCGCGCTGTAAGAGTTTGATGTGGACTGTTTCTCAGCCCTGAGGTCAGGGGTCAGCTCCTGTCACTGGCCACTCAGGCTGGTCCTCAGTGACATGGTGCTAATTAACTGTGTGAGGAGCTGCCAGCCTGGAGTGGGAGTGGTATGTATGTTGGTGGGGGGTGAGGCAGCAATGGGTGATGCTGGGCACAGGTCCTGCAGATCCCACAGCTTAGCTGTCTCCAGAGTCAGCTTGGTCCTCCTGCAATGCCATAGGGTGTGGCATGGGTGGTGGAGAGGTGCTGAGAGAACATAGAGGCAGGCTTGCTGGAGGGTTGAGGTGACAGGTGCGGGGCAGGGCCTCAAGCTCTGGAAGGGGAAGGGGCCAGCTGGGATGGTTGTGTGTGGCAGAGCCATGGGAGTGTTTGGGACAGAGGCGTGACTTGGTCAGGGTTCGGCTTCAGTCTGAGTAGTCTCATGGTTTGTACAGGAAGAACTAGTGAGGAGAGACTGCAGACAGGGAGGCCAAAGTGGGGGTTACCATGAGGTAAGCAAGAGGGCATTGGCCATGGAAATGGAGGCAGGGCCTGGTGAGACTAACTTTCATTCATTCAGTACACATTACCTTGCACCTACCGTTTGTCAGGAACTGTGGTCAGTGCTAGAAGTGCATTGGTAACAATGACAGACACAGTTCTCTGCCCCCACAGAGCTCACAAGTGGAGTTGTGGGCTTGACCTGGGGACTGAAGGAGAGGACAGATTCAGGGATGGCCAAGGAGGGCCTAGAGGCAGTGGAACGCTGGACAGAAAGGCTTGTCATCGTGACATCTTAGTCAAGGCAGGGCTCTTCCTCCTGGGGTAGTGGATTTGACCTTGGGAACCTGGTGAACAGGGTGGTGCCTGAGGGGGGTGTGGGTGAAGAGGGCCTGTGTGTGCTTGGAACTGCTGGCTCCAAGACTGTTAGTGGGCTCCGTCAACATCCTTGGTTTGGACCAAACACTCTAAGGCAGAGCAAGCTTCACAAGGGAACTGTTGAGTGGTCCTTTTTTGCATTCCAATCAGAATGCAAAGGCCAGCAAGGCACTGACATTATTTGGGGACACTTTATATTAACTAATTTAATTTTCACAATCTTTTGAAGAGACACATTGTATTTCCATTTTATAGATGAGGAAACTGAGGCTCAGAAGTGATTTGCCTGAAGTCACCCAGGCAGTTAGGGTGCCAGGATGCAAACCCAAGTCCATTGAGTACAGAGCCTATGTTATTGCTGTGCTAAACTACAAAGCAGACTTTTAGTATCAAACTTTGTGCTACCAACGGAGTTGTTGTGGAAGGAACCAAGCTGCTCCCCTCTTTTCCCTCAGCAACATGTGAAACATGCAGGCCTTGACAGAGCCTAAGTAGCAGCAGCTGAGGAAGAAAGGAAAGGAGCTATTGCCACTCCTTCAGCCCTGTGACTGCTGACATCTCACCTCCTTCTGGCCTTGATGTTCTGTGTGGTTTCCATTTGCTCTCTACCTCTTGACCCAGAAAGATTCTGCCCATCTACCCCCTCAGGGAGTCTTGCCTGGCCCAGCATGAGTGGACAGAATACACACTTGGACCTGATTATACTGGGTCAAGGTAATGGTCTGGCCCTCCATACGTGGGTTCTCTAAGGGCACGGCCTGGTCTCCTTCCCTTTCTTTGTGGAAATCTGGAGAAATGTCAGTAAAATCTCACCCACAGACTGCTGGTTCCAGCTGGCTGGGAGACTCACTAGAACCTTCCCTGATGTTCCAGACTCACTGGAACCTTCCCTGATGGGTGGTCCTGTCCCAGGAGCTTAGCCCTCTGCTCTGGGACTCAGGAGGATCCTTCAGGGCTGTGGTATAGGTAGCATGGCCAGAGACCAAGTGGATTCTCTCAGGAGCTTGCTGACCCACACAGTTTGGCGAGAGGGCTGGACTGGCAGGTGGCAGAGTGCGGGCCTGGCCCCCAGGGGGACAGTGCTGGCCTGTGGTCTCCCCTGAAGGAGTGGGGTGTCTATCAAGAGTCCAGTCAGAACGCATTAGCTCTGTGACATGGATCTCATTAGTGCCCGTGAGAGGTGTCACTGCGGGAGAATCGTCGGCTCAGGGAGACGCTTGTACCAAAAGGAAGAAAGGACAGTGACAGCCTTTTCTCTGCCGCCACGCTCACTGGGCCGCCCGCCCTCCTCCTCGTGGGGGGGTGGGGGTGCTGGCTAATGAGCTC